AATAATCTTTCTTTTAAGAGAATGTTGATGAAGCCAACATTATAAGACATAGGCAAATATATAGTAAATCACTGTTTTCAAATGGAATTCTATCACAAAGTAATATTCAAATTACGGTGAGAAAGGTATATATAAAAAATAAGAATTACTGTAGAAAAATATAAAAAAATTGTTATTTATTGTTTTCGGTATGACCTTCTTGTTGATATGTTATATACTTATTTTTATGATTCCTTGACGCTATAAACGTTATACTGCGCAATTCAACATCTAATAAAGATTAAATTAGACAACTAATAATATATTATATTATAACAATTATATTATTGCTCAATTTATCTAATTCATCTGCTAAAGATTTAAAGATTGTGACTCAAGAAAATTAAATATAATTAAATTCATCAAAGAAAAAAGGTAGAAATTAAAAAATCTCAATGCATAATCATGCTTTATATATATGTATAATAAAATTTGTATATACTTCAATTACATTAATTAAATGCATTCAGATATTTATTTCAATTTTCTAAAGTAATAAAGACTTTTCAACTAAATTTCCTTTTACTTCTTCGTTTACGTATGTAACTTTTACTATAATTTTCTCTAATAAATATTGCGTTATATTTTTCTTCTCTTTTTCTTTTCTTCGTCCGAGTAGCCACCTTATTTAACTAGAGACATGACTGTCTGGATAGTCGCAAAAGTGCAATCGCTTTTTGTATGCATAAATATGCACACGTATGTCGTTGGTCGCGTTCTAATAAGAAAATCTTGTTTCGAGAGGTAGATTTTGATTTAGAAAAAAAACTAGCGTTTGCCACCTTTCTGGTTCTTTATCTAAAACACCGGTTTTTCGACAGATGCAAAACAAAGCACGGCAAGATAGTAGAATCTTCGACAGAATAGTCGTCAAAAACACTAATCAAAGAATTGAAAATATAACCGAGATCTATATTCATTCGGTTTATTATACCTATATGTAAGATATTAAATAAAAAAATTCCGTTATGAAAACATAAAAATGTAACAGAATAATTCTTCATTAAGTTGCCAAACGATTCTTTTTCCTTCCATATTTTCTGTCTCTCTCGAGGATAATTCACAGAATTAAGAAAATATATATTACGATTCAATAATAATAAAATTCAATTAGTATACAATAAGAGCCTAGCAAGTATGCTATAATTAAATTGTTTTATTAATTTTCGTATATATAAACAGTATTTTAAACGTTTCGATCTTTTTTCAACGGTCCTCTTTAGTGAATGTTACAAAATATTATTTAAAATATTATTAAAATTTTTTTAAAAAGGTGTATAAACTATTACATATTCCATAAGCCTACAATGAACTTAATTATATAATGATCCTGATGTCCATTAACTCAAAAAAGTGTTGTGTGACATTTCGTAAACAATTTCTTCACTTATCAATATTTTGTAATTACTTCATATATTAATACATGAAGTGCAGTCGTTTACGAAATATCACACGACAATTTTTGATAAAAGAATCGATAAATCGAAGAATTTAGTAGTGTACGGTAATGTTTCATCAAACAAGGATCATATTAGGACAATTTATGTTAAATTAATGGACATCAAGATCATTATATATTTATGTTCATTATAGGCTTATGGAATATATAGTAATTTATAAACGGTAATAATATATAAATTTTGTAACATTCACTGAAGAGAACCATTGAAAAAAGATCGAAATGTTGTTTATAAAAATTAATGAAACAATTTAATTGTAGCATACGTTATCTTATTAAGCTCGAAAAGTTCTTATTGTATATTAATTGAATAATTCACAGAGAATATACTTTTCATAGTATGTGTGTGTGTGTGTGTGTGTGTGTGTGTGTGTGTGTGTGTGTGTGTGTGTGTGTGTGTGTGTGTGTGTGTGT